AATGGATCACAGTGGCGAAGTATAAGCACTGGATGGGGCTGCCCTTTTCGGGAGCCGCAGCCGTCATGTGGCCAACACATGCTAAGGTTTTCATTCCTCGTTTAGCATATAGTAAGGTAATGCAGTTTCGTTTATGTTGCTGGGCTTTGGAGGCAAACAGAGCATGAAGGGGCAAGTACCACGTCCCCAGGGGGCAGCGGTTTTGCCACTGTTGTGGTACTAATAGCCGAATTGAGGATGTGAACCCCTGTTATTGGAATGCCCAGCCTATAATGATATTCGTGCTGAAGAAGGATTCGATCATCAACAGAGCATGTTGGAGGCCATGCAATGGGAACCCGCACGTCTGGCGAGGAAATTGGAACGTATGTGGGCTCACCGAAACTCAATTACCCCCTTTAGACGCTAGTCTGGGCTGATGTGCGGTGTTTTCCTTTCCTCCGTGGCTTTTAGGTGTTGTAGTATTACCCTTGGGCCCTCAGCTCGTATGGGTAATCTTACAGGTATGGGGTCACACACCCCCAACCATGTAACACACACACACATAACACGTCTTCGTCGCAATTAAGCCCGTGAAATTTTACGGGTGCTGTGCATTACGGCTTGGGGGATTACGGGTCAAGACCTTGTGATTACGGGTAATGTAACCTGTGGATGACTTCCAGCACGGGCAACCAACAAAATGTCACCTGTGTTATTCCTTATAAAAGGAATGCTTTGGCAACTTAAAAATAAGCATGTGTACAAATTTTCTTGGCCGGTAATTACATGTGAAGGCCACGTGATTACGGGTAAACATGAATTTACGGGTGAAAACCTTTCCCAGAGTGTCCGTCTGTTCCTCCGACATGATGATCGCTCAACACATTGAACTCACCCCACAAGTAAGAATTCAGGACTTCGAGGGTGTCTAGATGCTCAAAGAGTCGATAAGATGCAATACATATGTTGATAAAACTACGGCCCTCAACAGAGTTAGAAAAAGTATGGGCTCCATACCTGTCACCCACCAATTGACAATTGTGGTTCCAGTGATGGCACATTTGTGCCAACCGCCACCCGAAAGAATTGATGCCAGCATCTCTATTCATGTGTGTGATGCCTAGGAGGGGATGGACCCCTGCACTGAACATTTCAGGCAGGTCTGGAGTATTTACTGTACGGGCATTAAAATCCCCTGCAAGTAGCATCTCATCACCCTCACACTGCAGCCTGTCGAGTTCACCAGTAATGCTGCCAAAAACCGCGTCAGAGACATCACTGAATGCGAGGCCACTCCCGTCAGTGCTGTTGTACACACTGGACCCCTGAGGTGAGCAATAACCTGCCCCCATGAGGAGCGTGTGGCCTCCAGGGAGTATATTATGAAGTCGAAGCCAGACAGCCTCCACCCCTATCGGAGCATTTGTCCGACCTACTTCTTGCACATGGGAAGTCATCTCACTCCGAACGAATACAGTAGACCTCACACAGCCTTAACCTGGTCAAATCTGCCCGATGAGAAATCATGCACGTTCCAAAGAAGGATCCGAATGCAATCACCCCCCCAGTGTGTCTCCTACCCAGTCATAGTGTTCAGCTGCCTCAGCTCTGCGGCCAAGCTGCTAATGTCTACCTTCTCCCATACAACACTGCCTGGCTCAGTGAGCGCCATTAGGTGTGTGCCCCGCCATGAGGGTGCCCTCTTGGAGTCAGCCAAGTGCCAGAAAACATCCTGGTACCCCCTCTTGTATGACTCACCGCTGGCTGTAAGCACCATACCGCCAGGAGTGACTCCCCCCTTCCCTCACCCTCTGCATCCAGGCCCAGTTGTTTCCGTATCCAATAAAGTGCCTGGTAGACCGCTGGGGTTTTAGTGATGCAAACCCGTTGCATCGTTCGCTTACTGTTGCATGCAGCAATACTGGGGTGCACTTCAACTGTGCAGTCCTTGGACATGAC